TTCTCACACGCAAACTTCCGGAGGAGAGAATTTACAAGTTTTTCTCGTCTCTCAGAATCAATAACATCAGTGGAGCTCCAGTTGAAGTACCGCTAGCACCATTCATGAGGAAAACGTCCATGCACCAAAAACGCTTTGCTTTCGCATTTATTAACGGGCTATTTTCAATGAAGGAACACACCTGGAAAACTTAATTAATTCGCAATTGTCACACATTGTCAGAGGAATTGCTTGATGTGAATAGTACTGAGGAAATCGACGACCAATTGTAAATGAATCAGCCCTAGGCAATTGCTTTTTTATGCTCAAATTTTCGAAGTGAGGAAGACAGAATTGCTTGCTTTGCAGAAGTAGTTCAGTTGAGGATTCGAAATGCTGACAAAACCTTTAATTCGTTTGTTGATGACCAACGGACTATAATAACTTCCATGAGTCTTAATTTCGTGTTCACAGCTGTTAATGAGCGTTGTAAACACACAAACGTTCACCTCTTGTACGTTGTGGTAAGATATCTTTGATGTTTCTGTTGCCTTAATTTGTACATCTTCCTTGTTGGAAGCATCGTCTTATTCAAAAAAAATGCTACCATTTGAAATTCACTTGTCCAATTAGACTTATTGGTTGAATGTAAGAAGAGGGATAACGTGTTTCTTCATGTGTGATGTGGTTAGATATCTTTGATGTTTATGTTGCTTTAATTTGTACATCTTCCTTGTTGGATACATTTTCTTAATTTAAAAAATGCTACTCTTTGAAATTCACTTGTCCAATTAGACTTATTGGTTGAATGTTAAAGGTTTCGTTGCTGCTCGGCATTGAAATCCTGGAGGCTTGTGTTTTACTGACATTTTGAAGCTTAACACTTTTTAAATTGAGCTACTAAGTCGAAATAGACGAGTGCGAGTAACTCAGATGTGAGAACCAGCGCCTAATAATCCTCAGGTCGGGCATTGGAATCGCAGATATGCAATCTTCTAATTGACATAGGCTTACTTTCCCTTTTTCTAACCTTAACCAATTGTTTGCTATGTAGAGCTACTTTTTAATGCTATTACCATAGTATTTGCCATCAGTTTTAATTTATATTTAAAGCATGGCTTTCAAATTGTCATGTAGAGCTACTTTTCAACGCTATTACCACAGTACTTGCCATCAGTTTTGAATTATATGTACAGCATGGCTTTCAAATTGTCATGAGAATTTTCTCTCTTTGTGTCCTGACTAACTTCATGTTGAATTTGTACAAATCTTTGTGTTTCAAGTGGCTACGCAAACACTGAAACTCGGGTTGTACGTGAAATACCGCAGTATATAAGATAGTCAACTATTCAATGGTCCAGGCACATTTAATAGTTGCACTGAAAATCATAGACTTTATTTGATATCTAATAATGATAAAACTGCATGATGATGCTGGTATCTCAAAACTAAGAAAATGACCAACTTTTGCCAGTTTTGATTCGCCCTCTAGTTTTTTAATAACTTGTTTAAGAAAAACTTGCGCTCTCAGAGATGCGTTTCTGTTTTCACCATGACTTCATATAATTTTTTTTTCATTCGCAGCTACAGTACATCCAATTCAGTTTAAATTGTTGAGATTTTTTCAAAAATAAGTCAGTTTGTTCTGTTTTTTTTTCCGTTTTAATTGACTTTTCCTTGGGCAGTTTCCCAAAACTTTTGGTAATTATGGAGCAGCAAAAGTGTCAAGGTAACAAAAAACGTGAACGACTTCTTCTTTCGAAATTGATAATTAAGTTTCAGAGTTATCAGCTGAATAAAAACGCAAGCTTTTGATCCAGTTTTTTCAAATTGGGCCACTTTTGCCAAACTGTTCTTGAAATTCAAATAGCTCTAAGGGCACCGTTTTAAAAAAAGCTTTATAAACAGTTATCCTCTTTGAAATTGTTTGTATACTCTCTATCAGCTAAATGAAAACTTTCTAGCGCTAATTCTGCTTTGGGTTTGTAAAAAATCGTTCAACTGAATCCATTATTTTTTAAAGCTCCTTTTGTCTTAAGTTTTGTTTGAAATGATTTTATTTGAAGACATTTGGTCATTTTTAGAAATTAGTCCTGGACATTTTATGTGTGTCTCAGTACGAATCGGTTTAACCTGTGACAGGAGCTGCAAGAGTGCAATTTAACAATAGCTGATACCGTTAAAAACTTGTTTTCCCGGAAGCAAGGGTTTGGCTTACGCTATGCAAACTCCGTGTAAAGTACAAAATTTGATAGTTATTTCTACCAAATGAAGTAAATTATCAATTTTTTGACGCTTGAAAAATCATCGATGACTGACGAGAACTTTAAATCACAAAATTTCAACACAAAAAAGCTTCAATTGCAGAGTGATAAAAACGCAGTGAGCAATTCATCGGAAAAAAGAGAAGATTAATAATGAGTGTTTGCATTTCAAAAGACAGATATCTGCAAAATAGTTCAATGACGGACCAATTACACAAATTTGTACATTGAAACCAAACAGTAGCTAGCCTAATTTCAGATTTTTCCGTAGACAATTTAGAGGCGCAAATTGTCTTTCAACCAATGGGGCGCAATTGATTGGAATTGATATATTGAACAAGAACTGAAATCAAAAAAGAAGTTGTCAGTGGGGTTTGAACCTGCGCCAGTGATGTCAGAACAGTGAGCTGAAACTACCAGCTCATCTCGCCTCATAGTTTTGTTAGGCCAATGGTTAAATATCGTATTGGTTTCTAAGCCATAAAATATATATAAATGTTTTTTTTTCGGAAGGTGAGGATAAACAAAATGAGAGACATCATTGAGTATTTACTCTGACTAAAATTTGTTATACTAATTTATTCTGGAAGCGCATGTTAAAGCTACCTTGTTTAGAGGTCATTATTTAGAAAAGAGCTATATGTAAAGTTTGAACTGGGAAAAAGCCTCAAGAAGCAACTTTCGAACATTTTACACAGACATAAATATGATTAGGCCGTCTGGAAAAAATTGTGCTTCAATATTACATTATAAATTTCAATCTCAAAACACACAAAGCACAAAGATGATCTTTCAAGCATTTACAGTTTAAAAGCAGCTTGGCGGATTTTCCATCGATTCTTACAATAATTATCAACCAGGTTGCGCTGTAGTAGTGTTGAGTTTGCGGTCAGTATAAATATCACGACTGATGCAAAAAAAACTAGCGAGTGCACATTATTGACTTCAGCAAGAACAAGATGCATTGGGAATGTCGAACAAATTTATTCACAAAGAGTGTGCAAAAAAGACAATTGGAATGGAAATTTGCAATAATATTAGTGGACGGCAATATGTTTCTCATCGATTGGATGAAAACAAAAAATGACTGAGATTCGAACAACCTATACTATACTATACTAGCAGTGTTACGATCATACACTGCGCCATGCCGGCCGCGAATTCTATTTAAGCGACGAGAAAAAAACCGCAGCAAATTCATTCATGTGATATATTTTCTCAACAAACTATTTTGTTCATAGACGCTCAGCCAGCACCATTCAAAGAAAACAAGAACAAAAAGAAGTGCAACCAGTCCTGTGGCACAGTTGGTAGTGCCGCAAGTCAGGATGATCAGTATGAGTAATGAAATGAGTTTCTTGTCTCAGTGGGACGCTATCAGCGCGTGATTTCACGTTGGAGATGAGCAATTGCAACTTCAGAACAGTTGCTATCAGCGGAGGAGAATATCGGAACAAGGGTCAACTTAAGACCATACTGGATGCCCTCATTGCCACGCTGAAGAATAGTGGGACTTACGACGACAATATGGACGAGAAGTGATACACGTGAGGATTTCTCAATTCCGCAGAATTCCTAGAAAGTGTAATGGAATGCGATTACACTATTCATGCGAGAGGTATGCTGCAAATCATTCGTGACCATATGGTAGTGTTCGCTCCAGGAACACAATTCACACCTACCGACTAAATTGAGAACAGAGAAAGATAGTTTGAGCCCCGATTTGAAGTACCAACGACGCGCATAGAGAGGTGCCCAATGTGGGATCAGAAGACTAAGACACCAAAGAATGAAAGACATAAGAATGTCCGAAACAACAATATAAACTGAATATGATGTACTGAAGAGAGTGAACTACGAACAAAATATTGAAAAATTTCATGGGAAATTAAATGTATAAGTTTTGACACAGGCGACGCTTCGCTTTGCACACAATAGCGAGAACACGACAAAAAGTAGCAGTAAGCCTCGAATTGGTAAAAATTCAGCTACAACTCGGACTCGAACCCTAATCATGAGTATCACGTACTAAGCACTCGACCCGGAGACTTAAATAATATCAAACAATTGCCACATATTAAGCACAGAACAGATGTTATGCAATTTCCAATGCTATAATGAAATTTCCATATAAGTGAACACTTTAAATGAACACTTTCAGTAGCGAGTTAGGTTAGAAAAAAAGAAGGTACCAAATAATACACTAGCTGCTGGCTAGTATAGGCAACTCTATGATTGGCACTTTTTTGCACAGTTATCCGATTTAGAGACAACTGGATCAAAATATAATATTTTTAATTCCGCTGAAAATCTTAAAATTGGAATCCAATTTCGAAACTAGAAATCGATCATGTTTTGGTGAGCCATTTCTGCATTCGCAATAAGAGCGCTTCTTGCTAAACTTTCAGCAAATGAACTTCAATTGAACTCCAATGCATTAATATATATGATGCACTTCTGTAGTTATTACTGCAATTTAAGACCTTGTCGCAAAAAAACGCACCAAGACTTACATAAGTGAAGTTCAATGCTTTCTTTTACACGTACTAAGAAAATAATGACAGCCTTCAGACCTTCTTCTACCCTACTTCAACTTACCTCGTTATTTATATAGACGATCCGCTCCCCAAACACTTGTTAAATAAATATCAATCGATAATGAGAAATCATTCAAGAAAAACGAAAAGAACAGAAATTAGTTACACAATTTTATTTTGACGGCATCCAAAGTTATTTAAGGACTAAAACCGAACAAAGTTGCGATATCTGAAACAAATTAGCTAGAATTTCAACATCACCTTAACTGTGACGTTCATAAGCGAATAAAGGGCAAAATTTACAATTACCTGAATTAGTACCATACGCAGAAACTAAATTTTGAAATTCGTAGATATCAAATCCAACTATTTCTATTTTACTTATATAGTAACAACCTATGTAGAGAATCGATTATTTGAATCGATTAGATTTTGTCGAACAATTTTAATTGGTCTTAACTTGACCGTGCACTCTGAAACGGTACAAGCATGTATACGCATCATTGCCATGATTCGAATGAACGACAATCGATACAAATCGAAACGTCAAGGATTCCTGATTCGCTTCCAGAGCGTCTAATTTAAATGTCTGCAACGTTTGGCCAGTGGTGCTTAGAGTGTATTCGAAGTTTCCCAGGAACGATCCGGGATCCTCGTTTTCTGAGTTGAGTCCATATATGGAGATATTTTTGGGTGCACTGGATGTGGTTCCGGTGGGTGATATGGATTGCGGGATGTGTTGGTAAGATACAGATTGCACTTTGAGTCTGCGCGCCAGTCTAATCACTATCTGACCGTTGGAGCCAGTGAAGGGCCAGCAGTTTCCAGGGTGCATATCAGGCTAAAATAAAACACCGCTTGTCTTTTGAAAGAAACTTTGATCTTTGGGTGAAATGACCAACCAACATACATCAAATCCATTTATTTATAAAAATCGCTAATTTTTAACTATTAACCACCAAGACAAGAACTAATACATAGGCGAAGCATAAGAAGTAAAGAAAAAAAACTTTGTAAAAAACATTGGATGAACCAAAAAATTCGTATGTCTCGATAACAGATACCTAGAGGCCCAGCTATAGCTGGAGGTTCCTGTTTGAGATTTTTTGAATTTATATACTGATGCATGATGATATGGGTAATTTCAAAAGCTGGACTTTATCCAAAACCTAAGCTGTTTCTCTAAAATAAGTGAGAAGAGAAGAGTGAAAATTTTTGTGAAATTTGAATTTACCCAGGGACATAACATTTATCTTGGAAAAAATTGAGACGTCAATTGTGCAGGATAAATTCTCGAACTGACTCTTTCGATTGAATCTTTTATCTCAGGTTTGATAGGATAGTTTTTAAGAGAAGCCAAAATATGTCTAAAAAAGGTCGAAAATTCAAAAACTTTTGTCTGCGAACTTTAGCTCACGGTCGCCTAAGCAGAGGAAACTCCCGAAAACACTTAACCTAACAATGGCAAGGTATTTTCCAAAAAACCCTCATAATTTTAAAACGCGTAGCCAGTTATAAAAGAACGCTTTCAACAATCTGTTATTTCGATTAAGCCCTGTTTTATCTTATTTGGCAGGTCAGTCATCGAGAAAAACTTTCCAAAAAACGATCAAAAATTAAAATTTTGGCTTTTCTGAAAAACATAACTGTTTGTGTATATAACTTGGACGTAGATATCAGATTTGGCAGAATAGTTATCGAGAGAAGTCCAAAAAACGGTCAATAAATTAAAAAATTGACATTTCCTAGAATCATAGCTTTTTGTTTTAAAAAAAGTCGAGCGTAGCCGTTTATGCAGAAGAGATTTGCCCAATCTGAAAATTAGATTAAACCCAAAAACCCAAGTTTGGCAGGGTAGTTTCGACAAAAGTCAAAAAGTTTCAAAAAAACGGTCAAAAAATCAATATTTTGACTTATGCGAGAGCCATAATTTGAGCATGGTCGCGTATGCAAGGAGCTTCCCACAACCTGTTTTTTGAATTAACCAAAATCTCAGGTTTGGGAGGCTAGTTATGAGAAAAGTCAAAAATAATTAAAAAAACGGTCAAAAAATTGACTTTTTCGGGGGCAAAATTTTAGTTCAAAAAAATTAGTAGTGGTTGCTATTGCAGAGAGCTTCAGATCACCTTTTATCTCCATTTAACTTACAATTTCAGAATTGGGATCGTAGGTTTTGAGAAAAGTCAATAAGACTAAAAAAACGATCAAAAAATCACGTAATTGACTAATGTGGGGGCAAAAATGTTTGTGGCAAAGCTGCTTATACAGGGGAGCTTGAGCTTTCCACGACCCATTCTATCCATTGAAACCAAATTGGAGTGTATACTAGGGATAATGCAGGCACACGAAAAGTAGACTTTTGATACTTTTCCATTCGTACACTTTTATAAAAATTGGCAATGCAGTTTTTGAAAAAAAACTTTTGCAAAAAGTGAAAAACTTTTGTAAGCGTCTAAAATAAACAAATGTTAAAACCAAAACCCATACATTTTCATAACACATGTTTTATCAATCATAGCCAACAGACAGTTGAAAAAACGTCAATGAACACAAGTGAACAAAAAACATACTGACTTGTTTTCAGAAACAAATCTCAACTTTCGAGTTTCCAAGAAAAAGATGGCCTGGAAGCATTTTGAATTTCGAGAACACATTATGATTGATACTTTTTTGAAATAATTAGCCTAATTTGAGAACAGGAAAACTGGATCAAAAGGAAAAATGTTCATTGCCCTTTTGAAATTAGAAGTCGATCACGTTTATTGTGACCTTCACATTTTTGCCTACCTTTTAACAAACGAAATGAACTGGACTTAAAAAGAAATCAAGTCAAACCGCGAAAATATAAAATTTGAGCCAGAACAAATTAAGACATGTACTGACAAAAAATGAAAAAAGCATCAAGACCTATAATAAAAGTCTGAACTACGTTCATCAACTCTTAAGCAGGAATTCTGGAAAAACATGGTGAGCACAACACTTGAATTTTAAATTAGTAAAGGAGAAAAATTACGAAGCGGAAACAAAGCTGAAACTCTTTGAGCAGACAAGTTGAGCCGAAAATTTGATTTTATAAAAAAAAACTTAAAATAGCTACCCCTAAAACTACAATAAACAACAGTTGCAGCTACCAGGAATTTTGTTGACAGCACAAAATTCCTTGATATGGCACAAAACTTGAGCAAACAAACGAACGTCCGACAATTCAATTTTTACATGAAAAAAAATTCTATTTTACACAATAAAAAACAATGTCCTACCGGGACTCGAAACCCAGACATTAAGTTGCAAACTAGACCGCGTTACCTCAAAGCCTAGTGGGAAGGAGCCTGAGTTGTTAAGGTTCTATAATAAAGCAAGTTCAATTTTTTGAAAAAAAGTTGTTAATGGGAAAAAAGTTTAGTTCACGATGACAAGACGATTGTAAGTGAAAAAAACGAAAAAAGTTCTTAATTGCAGTTTTTTCTCTTTTTTAACTTCGGATATGTTCTTGATTCAATTTTTCACAAGGAGTATCTCTTAATTTTCTGTAAAACATGACTTGGATTTTTTGGTGAATTGTCAATTTATCGTTTTTTGGAGAGGAGGCGTTTTTATTTGGCCCAGAAAAAAATTTTAATCATTGAATTTTTCGAACTTAAACTGAATGTCATTGCATATGATAATTATACTCATTGCATGTGATAATAAAAATTAAGACATAAGATGGAAACTTTTAAGATTGGAAAATGAAAAAAGGGGAGGGAAGATGTAGTCGACAAGATGACTGAAAGGTTACGAAGATGCAAAACCTGGATGACAGTTCTTGGCGAGGGAGTCTGATACCAGAGAGGAATGCCCATTATGGACACTACAGACGCATACTGAGTGTATGTCTCCGTACATCTAGTGGTCACTACACTCCCGCCCACACTCTCCAGAGCATAGTCTGGCACCCCTGTCCCGTCTTCTATCAGTGCACGGTGCACTTCTTCACGCACGAGCGTGCGAAGCTAAACAAAAAGAGCACTGCGTGCACAATCACTCAAAAGCACCATGCAAGCAAGCAGTTTAACCTTACAGACATGCTTCAAAAAAACAGATTTCAGAAACCCAGACATTCTGACGAAACACTGCTACTGCACTTGAAATTATAAAGAAGTTCGAAGCCTTTAGATCACGAAAAACTTAGCACCATCTAAAAAATTAACATGTATGAAGTAATATTTCGTTGATCGAATAAGAAAGTGTACTCACCATTCTAGATATGTTTGGAGAATGATTGAAAAAGTAAAATATTACTTACTTGGTTCTAATCATTTTCCCATGTTTGCAGTTTGAGAATTCATCCACGTACAAACTCTTGGTTAGAACTGGGAATAATAGACTATACAAGAGAACTCGATCAATTAAATTATTAATCAAGATCGCTCCGTTTATGCCAGTAAGAGGCATAAAGTTGAATACTTTTAGGAGCAACCCAGTTTCAACTTTATGCCTCTTACATGACTTGAAACGGATAAGTTCAACCAAATCAACAGCAACAAAAAAATTGGAAATAAATTTAACATCCAACGCGAAACACATAGTTGCACAATTAGAAAGATTAATTGGATTCTAATTGAAAAACAACTCCGTTGTGATGTGTTCGTGGCATTACGTCATATTAAAAATTATATAAAACTTATTCTAAAAAACATCGTAGTCTATTTTTAACAACTAAACCAAACGTATTGTAACTCTTACTTGATTGGTTGTAGTCGTTATATTGTAGAAGTATGAGTTGAGATATTGCGACAGAATTGAGAAATTTGCATCAGCTGAATCAGAAATGGATGACGACTGTTTCTCAGAAGAAGATTGGAAGAAAGATAGAAGAGTATCTTGGACAAATGGAGGTTGCAATTGTCCACTAGAAGATTTGCAACTGCTGTTCAACTTCAGAGCGATTAATTCTAAACAGCGAACAATGCTACTCGTATCAAAGCGAAGTTCTGAATGTTCCAAATGTGCTTTGACAAAGCAAAATAAAAAGTTTACCCCCATTAATCCAGTTTTTTTTACTTGGATCAGTTTTAACAATATAGTTTCTATCATAAAATGCTTTAGAAAAACAAAGAGCGTTAGGTCCATCTAAATTTTTTTATTTGAAATTCGGAAGAATTCGGAGTCCATGTTTTTTTGTTTACTTGCGTTTATTGATTCTTCTTCATATTCTGTTGGCAACGTATTTCAGATGTTTGTTGGTTATGTCATTATTTGACTGCAATCGATTAAGTGTGTCATACCTCTTAGTATGGACGTGAGTATATCGAATCCGAACGGATGGATAAACGTAATCTCGGTGCGAGTCAGATAAAACAACTGTTTTTAAGAAACATAAATTAGCGTCTGAGCTCTTGCTCATAATCTCAAGTCGGCATGCAGCCGTACCAAGGTCAACTGACCAGATAATATATAAATAGATTAATCAAATGAATATGTATCAATGATGCTGAGTTTATCGATCCGTACCGGATGACAAAGTGATTACGAAAATGTGGTGGAAACCTAACTTTTTAATGGAAACTTCTAAATAGAAAAAAATACTTCAATTTTTTTCTATTTATTAAAAACTTTCCACTAAAAACTTAGATTTCCACAACATTTTCGTAATCAATTACACGATTGCAGATAAGTAATAACATAACCCGCAGACAACTGAAAAAACGTAGCTAACAGAAGCCTTATCTTCCGAATTTCGAAAAAAAATTAGACGGACCTAAAGCTCTTTGATTTTCTAAAACATTTCATGATTGAAACTATTTTGATTAAAAAAAACTAATCCAATTTGAGAAAACTGGATCAATGGGTAAACTTTTTATTTTGCTAGTAAATTTGATAATTTTAATCCTTTTTCGAAATTAGAAGACGATCACGTTTTTTGTGACCTTTACATTTGCGCTGTTCGTTAGTGGCCTTTGACTTCCTTTCAATAAAGGAAATGAACTGAACTTAAAAAGAAACCAACAGTCAAACCACGAAAAAGTAAATTTGAGCCTGAACGATTTTTTAAAGAGTTTCACTGAAAAAAAAAAACGAACAAAAAAACATACGGACTAAATAGACCATAACAAAAAAAACTTGGCGATCATAGTTGACCTTGTAAAACCATTCATTACACCATAAAATTGATGCTCGTATATGGGGGGATGGGGTGCTTGGGGGACAGCGAAAAATTGTCACGACCTATTTAAGGGCCTGTATTAGTTCATCGACTCTTAAAAACAAAGAACATGTACCGGTTAAACAGTAAGAAATCATTGGTCCGGCGGGGCTTGTAAGAAACCTTTACAAAATCTCTTCAAGGCCAAGAGACATGTAACACCGTTAAAAAGCCACCAAACAATTACCTTGTATTTTAAGAGCTATTTTCTTCTCATGTCTGTCCATTGCAAGTTCAAAGTCATTTTGCCTCACAAATTCTCTTTTTTCCCCTTCCCACTCCATATTTGGTCTCGTCTGCTCCCTGTTTAATAAAACCTCCCCCTTTAGAAATTCCGCCGTTGCCTTGTTCTCGTTTATTTGAGTTGACATTTCAGCAATAACTGCTTCTAAGTCTCTAATTTGATCTTGGAAGCTGTTTAATTTGATTGTATCGGCGCTCATGTTTGCATGTAGTTCTTCCGCCAACAAACAACACTTTTTGAAGCCCAAATTGGATGCCTCTAGACTTTCAATTCTCGTTTCTAGGGTCCTAATTTTATCCTCTAATCTCAGCGAGGAGCCTCGTACTGCTTCCTCAAACTCAGATTTACTTTTCTCCTGACTTTCTTTAACGTGTTGCTTCAATTCAGCAATTGAGGCTCCAATTTGGTGGATTGCTTCGCGGCCAACTTGACTGCCGGAAGCAGTTGCTAATACTTTCATGTTATTCTCTATTTCTTCGAACTTAAGTCGCGAATTTTCAATGTTGCCACTCAATTCAAGCGTTAACTTAGCAAAGCTGTTTTGCAATTTAGCGTCAGACAAATTCAGCGAAGCGTGTAGCACTTCCAAACTTTTCAGACTCTTGGCAAATTTCGCAATCTGGCTCTGTGTATCCAGTAATTCCTGGCGCAGACTTTCCGATTGCCCCTCTAATGCCCGCGGGTTTTCTTTGTCTTGGCCTGTGATTGTTTTGCCACTTTGCTTGAGTTTGTATAGTTCAGACTCTAGAATTTGAATGCGTGAAAACAAATCCTGCTGTCTTGAAGCGTCTTCCGATTGTGTCGACGGGGAATTACTCGCAAAATGGGCCGGCGAATCCACGCTAAACAATGAAGACAACTCAGCCAAGTTAAATAAGAGAAAGTGATTTCAGTCTTAAAAACAGAAGCAACATTTTAACCTCCGAGTAAATGCCGAAAACATGTCTTCAGTTATATCGGTTAAGATTAAATTTTATCAAATTGTAACAACTCTTAAATTGATAAAACGTATTGTTTTGAGTCTATAAATGTGCTCACCTGAAAACATCACGATAATGGTTGAAATAGGAGCGCAAGTTTGAGCCAAATCCATTCAACACTAAAAACAAAGTAAAAAACGTGATATCAAGTTCACTTCACAAAAACAAATAAAAGAAATCTTCAATGATACCGCTTTATGGTCTTGTTGTTCGATAGCTCAAAATTAAATCCTTTTCAAAATCAAACATGGTCGAAAAAGCTTATTCGGTTTCTCATCCGCGCTTAACAAACACACTAACTGTTCCGACCACTGAAAATGGGAGGAACTTTGTCTCCGGGTGTTTTAGTTTTTTCTTTCCCTTTGCAAAATCAAGTACTAAAAATAACACCGAGGCCAAGTTCACCACTTGCGATACAAAACAAGAAAGACACTAGGTTAGAAAAAAATTTAAAAAAAACTAGATCTATCACAATGAATAAAGCTAATTTTGAAACAAAAACATGCCAAGACAATAAATAAGAAATTTGCTTGGAAGAAAATTTACCATGCAGTATCAACGCCGAAAATACCTTAGCAGAAACCCTTTCAGCCAAAAAAAAACATAAAAAGTTAAGAAGAACGCACGCATACACAAAACATTATTCGTTTGTCATATGAAACTAAATGCGGCTACTGAGCCGATACAATTTAGGCCGAAACCACCTATCCAGTCGAAAAAAAAAGAAAAAAATTGGTGTAATGAAAAACAAAAAATAAAACTTCTATTCAGTTTTTAATAATTTGTGCGACCGAGAGGTGAGCATTAAAAATAAAAATCCATTGAAGCGAATCAAAATTAGGTCACTAAGCCGATAAAATGTAAGCCAAGTTCATTTGGGCATAAAAAAGTTTTAAAGCGAGAAAACAAAAAAAAAGAAAATATCCAAATTTCAGGCTAGTATAATTACAGACAGCAGAAGTAAATCAAAACACTAAACGCAGCTACAATGTTAATTGCGTACAGTAAACAAAAAACAATTCTACGATGTGGCAATTAAGCTGACAAAATATAAGCAGACAAATAATAAGCCGACAATTTTTTTTAAAGTGAATATTTCCAGTTTGAAAAAACGGGTCCACACAGATTTTGAACCCAGGACCTTTTCCTCTCTAGGCGTATTCGTTACTTCTAAGCCAAGTGTGACGGAGAGATGAAAAAAATTGAATTCATATTGAACTAAACCTAATTTTACCAATTCTAATTTTTGGCCTATATGTGTACAACGTAATTTACGGAAAAAAGTCTTGAATACCGTTGCAAAACTCTTGCTTATCGCAAGGTTAATTATCAAAATGAATCATAGTACACACACAGAGACAAAGCACAGCTTCGGACTACTTGCGATACAACACAAACGTTTAAAAAAAACAAAAAGCCGATTCTTTTTGCAATTTCCTTGATAATGAAAAAACAAGGCCCGGCGACGGCTCGAACCCCAGACCTTGTGGAATATAGGCACCTGTTGTACCTCCAGGCCAGGAGGAAGCAACCTGGAAGATGTTTAGAGAAGAGAAGTGAAAAGAAGTCAGCAAGTGATTCAACTGATTTTGTTGAACTAGTAGTTATAAAGAAAAAAAGTCTTTATTCCAGTTTGATAACGCTTGCTTATCGCAAGCGTAATTCTATTACAGTCTTTTGAGTCTTTGCTCAAAAATTTTGAGAGAATACGGTTTGATTTTTATGGGAATCGAACATTAGCCCTCGAACATCCAAGCTTTCAAGTCAATTGCCCTACACAACTATGCCACTAACACTTAAAGATCACAAACACTAGTCACTGGTAAATTGTAAACTGGAGAATGCATCTACTAAACTGCCAATACTATGCAAAACAAGTGTTACGAACAATGAACATTTTCATTTGCGAGTTCGGTTGGAAAAAAGTGGAGCCCGTTATAAGACATTATTCTATCTAGCTCGCTTGGGTAACCAGGACCAGATTACTCAATCATGATGAATTTCCAGAAAACAACAAAATCATCCTTCTTAAAACAGTCTAAATAGAAGTCAATATTTTGTCCTTGTATTTGGTTTGAAATGTGTGAACGAGATACTAACTTGGAAGTGCGAGCATGAGAAGAAAGAGGAAGATGATGAGGAAGGGCAGATGGAGATTCGCATCCAGGTCTCGCACTGACTCGGCAATGCTGTGACACCACCTGAACAACATTAAAATCACAATCAATACAGCTATCGATTACAATGCAATTAGCACAGACGGTATTTGATTCGGGTTTAATTCAAGGCTCAAAATTCCAAATTTAATTTATCCAAATTTTGATGCTATTCCTTGCAATATATCGCTATATAGGTAGTAAACTCAACGATTGTCCGAATTTCGATTTTGTTACCCCATTTGTTTTTAGGTTAACAAATCTGCAGAACCTTAAAGTTGCAACCTTAATTATCAAGCCAGATAACTTATCAAGCCGGATAACTTATCAAGACATATCTTATCAATACAGATATCTCATCAAGCCAGATAACTTATCAAGACAGATACCTTATCAAGCCAAAAATCAACAGAAGAGCTACATATCTAAACCTCACCTTTTAGCCTTAGTAATTGTATTTCCAATTATGGATTCTGAGGATGACATTGAAGTTCTAGATCTACTCGTGAACTGACGTCTCTGTCCACTGACTCTTTGCTCTTCGAGATTACTTCCCTGCTGTGATTTGGACCTTGTCACTCTTGTGCTACTGAGGTGTCCCGAGTAGCCATGCGATTGACTATTTCCTGATTTAGATACTGAAATAAATATCATTTTCACGCATAGCAAATAACATATGGCAAACAAAAATAGTCCTCTTTTTCATTAGTACTTTTCGATATCTCATGAAGGATTTCAAGTGTTCTTTTTTATTTCAATGTACAAATACCATAAGCAGCATTGGCTGTCGAAGACTGAACTGCTGCAGCTCCCAATGCGACTCCGACCGGCGGAGACTTCCCTCCTCCGCCTCCGACTGATGATTTGCCACCACTGCGATAACGCACCCGACTCAGCTGTCGATAGAGAAACCTAGCGCAAAAAATCGGCATTAACTTTAACTTTTCATTAATAATTGGGAAATAAAATAGAAGAACCTAATTTTCAAATGGTACGTTTCGTGATAAATCCATTGTTAAATCAGTTACTGAAACGTAAAATTTTCTATTGACGGATTAGTTCAAGAAATTAGATTTAGAGATAAAATTTAAACAAAATTACAAAAAACTCTTGAAAAGTTTGCGAACTTGACAATTCAAGTGGCTTGTTCTGTGTTAAAAAAGCCGGAAAGTCCTTTGCTTTCCAAATATATAAAGAATCTAGAAGAAATGGTAAATATAGTAATTGTACATAGTAATTGGTCTGGAGAATTAATTGGAGCAAATTGCGCTCTCTAACGATAAAAAAGCTTCTAGAGCCAAAAGTGGCTGTTACTTTTAAATTTGAAGTTCCTCGGCGGATATTAATCTATTGTTCTCAAATTAGTTTGGTTATGAGTTTTTCTGCTTGCGCGATTCCATTGACATCTTTTTAAAATTCTGTTGGCTATGGTTAACAAAGTTCGGATGGAGGATTGATTTCTAGCTAAGTTTTATTATCAATCGAACTACTTAGTTAAATATTTTTTTTTGTTCCGACTTTCGAAGAAAACGGGAAATTTATGCTTGGTGTGGTTTTTTTAATTCAGTCAATTTTCGGCGATTCCATTGACATCTTTTTAAAATTCTGTTGGCTATGGTTAACAAAGTTCGGATGGAGGATTGATTTCTAGCTAAGTTTTATTATCAATCGAACTACTTAGTTAAATATTTTTTTTTGTTCCGACTTTCGAAGAAAACGGGAAATTTATGCTTGGTGTGGTTTTTTTAATTCAGTCAATTTTCGGCGATCGAAATACTTTTTAACAAAAAAAAAATTGATACCCCAATGAAAACATCGACTCCCTGAAATCAAATTTAAAAAGATATTTTACCTCCGATCATTTTTTGCTAAGTTCTGGGATTCTGAAAATTGCCAATTCGGCCATCTCTGGACTAGTTCATGAGCGTTTTGAATATTACATTCATAATGCTGAAAGCGTAACGCGAATTAATCATGCGTGGCGAAATATCCCGCACAACAAAATCGTTCCAAATTGAATTGAGGCAAGCTAGTCGATCGTATTAATTTCGTACGACTCAACAAATTTTCACACTTGATCTTTGATATTGTCCAAAATTTATAGTTTTTTTTTAGTATTTTCCTTTCTCAAAAATCTATTCCATATAGATTCAGGGGCAGTCGGAACATTCAGGGCGTTGCCGTGATATACGAGCAGTCTTGTTGATTCTTTGGAATATAATGCTGAGAATATAAAGCATATATGAAGCAATGGTGTGCTCAGAAGTGCAATAAGCTTTTTTCCTTTCAAAACTTTTCTTTTTCCGGGATATCTATTTCCGAAAACTGTATATGCATCACCATGATGTCTTCGTACAATTATTATTTTTGCAAATTACTATATGCATAAAAATGAACAAAAATACGATCCAATAAAATCAAAACTAATTTGAAAAATAATGAATTATAATTTAAATTTCCAAAAACTCCTATCTCAAAATCTGCCATTGTGCGAATTCCAATTTTTACAGCCAACCCTAGAAAACTTTCGCAGTGCAGCAAAAAAATGACAAAAAACAGGGTAGCTGGTTGCTAGACACAGAAATGCAACCACATTCATAGAAAAAACTACTAAAAAAATAAGCAAAATAGGCATAATCGACACCAGTTGTCTTCATTAAGTAAATAACACAAAAAAAGAATCTTTTCCAAATTCTTTATACAATAATTGTTTTAAATTTCTAAATACTTTAATTGACAAGGAAGCGCTAAATTAAACTTGCAAAAGTAGCTCTTTTTAGTTAAAAAAAATGAAGTTTTTCTCAGCCTGAATTGCCAATTATATAAAACGACCGTTACTCGATCGCTCAAAATTAGACAAAAACTAAGACAAAAATTTTAAACCTGTTTTTCTCAATACTGGAACGACGACTGAAAAGGCTTTAATATGATTTACCACTTGATCCATTCTGATAACGTGGCACCTGATTTTGCGGGGGAAAAAATAGAAAAATAACTTAAACACCCGAATACAAAGTTCTTCCCCAGTTTCAATGGTCAGAACAAAAAATTGCTAGTTAAGAAAACAATCAGAAACTTTAGACAAAAACACAATGCCTCGAAAATTGAAAGGTTTGGAGTAAACAATTTTTGAGCCTAGATTCAAAAATCTTAAGCAATTGGCACAAAAGATTGAATTAAGAGTTCTTAAGTTCGAATAAAATTAGTTTTTTTTTCTGAAAAATTGCAAATTTTGCAAAAATCAGTTTTGGAGCCAAGATTCACAGCCCTAAATTAATTCGTCTCTGAGGACATTCAATTCATCAAACAAAAATTGGATTACAAAAGAATTTGGTCACTGCAACTAACTTGTGGATTTTACTGGCAAGAGCAGTTGGCACATTGACATTAATAGTGGCCATTTGATACGGCGGCTGTGGTTTGGCGAAGTGCATGTTGGAAGTCTCGTCCCAGATTTCCCTAGTCCTCCGCATGAACCGCGTGGGCGAGGAAGACGACTCGGCAGATAATTCAAACACAGCCTCGTCTAAACTAACCACTTTATACATTTCATGCAATTATTCTTTTGAAGAGCTTATTTACCCAATTTTAGTGCAAACCAATGCAAATCTTAAGAGATAAAAAACATTAAAAGCTTCCGCAAATTTGTTTTCAATGGCAATTTCAAAAACTTTTACCAGTGACAGATTGATCATTTGTTAAATTCTAAAATTCTAATTGTTCAAAACTCAGGAACATAGGTATCAATCTTAAAATAGCCCTTTTTTATTCTTTTTGAGAACAATTATTTAATGAATGTTTGCAATAAACTTTCGTTTCCATTGTATAAATCTATAATCTACTGACCTCTTAATTCCGGTTCGGCTCTTTCGAATTCCTCAAATTCCTCCGAGCTACTTCGCTCATGTTCTATCGACTCATTTGATACTAATCGAGGCACTCTTGTAGTCCCTTCACGCCTCCACGTTTTTGTTGATCCTTCAGGGGAACGCGAAAGGGATCTTTCTCTTCGAGCCGGTGAACTTTTCGACGATGGAGAGTAGTCGGCTAAATGATGCGACTGACCCGAATGATGAAAAGTCTGAGCATGATGGAGGTTCGTCAAAGCCGAAGTAGTTGTGATTGTTGTTGACGCGTAAGACTGCATTGACGAAGAGCGATCGCGTTTTCTCAGCAGCAAAGGTTCTCTGATGTCGCTGTATTAATAGCACTTCCATTATAAATCATCAAACGAATGTATCCAAATAGTGTTGAACTTTTTTTACGTTTTTTTTTTTTACATTTTAAGAAAAAACTATTTTGACGACACAAAATGAACACAGAAAACTGTTGAGATTAATAAGAATATTATCGACACAGAGGCGAAGCTGAGCTTCGCACCACTTGCTATTCAAAAATGAATGACGATGATTGAATTCAAATAAAAAAAAACTTGAAAAAAAACTTCAAATCGATTTTTGTCTTCAAATCGAAAAAAAACCCAAAATATCCGGAACAAAATTATGTACACCGTTGAAAAAACATACAAAGAACTTTCGGAATGCTGGAATGAAGTCGAAATTTCAAAAAAAAATCATTTCTGCGAGAACTAAGTCAGCAAAAATAAGCAGACACCAAAATCTATAATTGCCGAAAATTTTCAATTTGCCAAGAAACAGGTCCCAACTGAAATCGACCTCCTCGTCTTTGTCGTCCATAGCATCGGTGTTAGTGTGACTTGGAAGAAAGCTGAAACTTTAAAACAATCGGGCTGCGGGAATCAAGCCGACAAAAATAGGCAGACAGGCGATAGTCCGAAAAAGCACAAAAAAAAAACAGTTTGCAAAAAACAGCTCCCGGTGGAGCTTGAAACACCGGCCTCTGCCGTCTCAAGCAGGTGTATTATCTCTAAGCCACATGCGCCGGATGGTTGACTGAATTTGAAGTTATAATCAGGCCATGCATCCGAAATAAAACTGAAAATAAATCAAACGAAAAAGGTTTACTCAAACAGAAGTTTTCTCTTTTCAAACTGAAAGTTTTAGCGTGTATAAAAAGCGTGTATAAAAAACCGTTCAGCGTGTTATTTTTTTCGGATTGAATTGAATAATCAATTGTATAGAATTTTCTTTAAAAAAACACCCGGCAAATAAGCCGTCTAAAATTGGACCGAAATCAATTAAGCCTACAAAAAAAACATTTGAATTTTTTATACCAGTACATCCAGTAACGCATCAACTCTAGGCACATTAACTCTAGGTATTAACTCAAGGCACTGTTAAACATGCAGAAAAAGGAGATCTCGAAATTGGAGGTCAACCTGTGAACAAAGTTGTTTACGGGAAAACAGTCTAGTACCCGATTGCAAAACCCTTGCTTATCGCAAGGGAAAAATGAATTGAATCATTCGCATGCTGGACCATTCTGAAATTAATACATGAAACATTCGTCTAATCTTTATGAAAACGATCAACTTAATATACACTGACCTCCATGTGTGTGGTCCAAATTTAACGAAAACTGAAAAATAGGTACCTTTCGGTCGCAATGTACTCGACTCTGTGTGCTATACCGGACAAGTTCGGCATGTCTACAGGCGGCACTTTGTCCCACAACTTTGCTAGTCGTCTGCTATATGTCGCTCTAAACAGGGATCATTTCTGTAAAAAGTAAAATGAATAAGGCTTTTAACCCACGACTGATGTGTACTTCTTAAGTATGACAATTCTAAAAATTAAGAAGACGCAAACGTTGAATTTGACCTCAGCTAATGCCGGAGTACTAAATTGAAAGCGATTATCTTAAATACCACAACCGAACTGCTATTTTTATGCACAAGAACAAGTCAATTTGAAAGAACAGACGAGATTTTAACGATTGAATTAACCAGAGATAAACCGAAAATCAGGTTACTTACTGACGTTTTCTGAAAAGGTATGAACATCAACGAAGAGTTGACAGTTAAAAATCAAAGCTGTCTCACAACAAACATTAAATCCAAATGTTAATCAAATCAGATCCTGAGCAAATAGCACACAGAAAGTTCCGACCACGGTTTCTTTTGCAAAAAAAAAAAAAAAAACCTTTTTATACTTTTTATGTTAAGAGACTAAGGGAGGTAGATTAACGCCTATAAACTCCCTAGTTGAGTTTACGTGGCTAGATTTTTTCATTCAATTTTCCTCGACACCGAGTTTTTCTGGGTTTTCAATGCTGTCTGAATTAACACTGAATGACTGATTTGTGGTATTTTCTTCAGCTTTGATAAAAAAAATAAACAAATACAAAACTTCTTCCCAGTTCCCACCACGTGGTCGGAAGAACATCAGTAAGCCAAGCAAAAAAACTTGCACATCGCTCTAACCTTAAAATCAGATCTCAAACTGACTAAAACAAACAAATCTTCAAATGATCATAACAACACTTCACACATGTAAGGAAAAATGTGCGACGGTGACCAGTCCTTGAGCAGAAAGGTCTAAGAACAGAAAGAGTCTAATAGCAGGAAAACATACAAAGTTTGACTTAGACGATCTTATAGAGAAAACAAGTATAAGAACCGTATAAAAGCATAAATTATACATTGAATAAGTCAATCAAATTTCTCAAAACTCTCTCAAAAACCAACTGCATGAAATTCTTTAAATTTTGTATAAATTTTTCATTTCATTCGAACAAGCAAAAATTCAGAAACTGCAACACCTTGTATTACCAAGGATAACCTACCAACTCTCGTTCTTAAAAATTGCAGCAAGCTAATAGCTACTGCTTAACTAGTCTAACAACTCTTAACAAATATTTTGAATTGTAAATGCGCGTCTATTACACCAGTTGTCTGGTAACCCTGAGGATGTTGAAATTTATCGATAATTCTTGAGAGAATGACCTTCGATTAGATTTATCCCCAAATTCGATCCAAAAACACGCCTGCTCGACAGTTTTATGATAAACGGTCAACTATTACACAGCTAGCATATTTAGATAAAATTTACCCTGATGCTGAGACAAAAACTGAAAGTTTGATTTTCGCAAAGCGTTCGATCAAAGTTACCAATCACATACTTCTGACCAAACCTGCTAATCTTGGCTATGATTTTGCTGTCTTCAAATACTAACTTTTTATCTTACAAACCGCACACAAATTGTAATAGTGGACAATAAAGCTTCCACAAAAACTGACATAACAAGTTGTGTTCCGCAAAAAGTATTGGGCCTTTTTTTGTTTTTATCGATGACATGCCAAGCATCTTAAAAACCCGACTGTTTCCTTTTTATCGATGACAGCAAGCTTTACTCACAGTGATGATCTCGCAGGCATAATTTTGAATAAAAAATTGCGTTTTTTCGGCGCGCGCTTTTAAAAATTTTTAGGGTCCGTCACCAAAAACGGATATCTCAAAACAGTGCAAAGAGGGGACCCTTTAAAAATATTAAAAAACAGAAAGCTTCGTTGTAAATAGTGACTTTTACATGGTATCTAGAAAATATAGACTTCAAAAAAATTATAGACCAAATAATGACTTTTATCGACCAGTCTATTAATATAGACCAAGTGGCCAGTCTGCAGTGATCTCTCGTCTTTAAGTTCAAGCAGACCTTGATCTTTATATCAAATGGACTTAAACTGATTCCACTCTGTTCCTTAGTGATAGAGACATCCCCGTAGTGTAATCAAAAAAGATCTTCATGTTACTAGTTTTTTTTTTGAAATGGGATACATACATTAGGGCCGAAGTGATCACAGTAAACAACGCTTTCCAATTTCTAAATCCATCTATTTAGAATCCAAAGGAGTCTCTATTTGGATAAAAAACTATTAACAGCTCAGTATCCGTAGCATTCTTTTATATGGTATTCAACTCTGGCTACCTTTCTCAAATTAACGCCGCAAATTATAACGATACAAAGATGCTTGAAATGAGTAACGGGACTCAATGATGACTCGAAACGGTTAGAAAAAAAAACAATTCACTTCCAATTTCTTTCTCAATTGCTTTAATTGATTTATGTTTTTCCAACAAGTGATTGCACAAAAATTTGATTTTGACAATTACAAATATATAAATGTTACTTTCACCGCAGAAGATCTTACACAGTAGCTTATACCCGAAACTTACAACCATCAAGAAATGTTGTCGTCTCTTTACTGAGCAGCTTTTATTCTTTCGTTTCTGCCTGTATTCTAAAATTGCTTTAATTTTTTTTCTCAATTGCTTTTTTTGAACAAATTGCAGAAAAGTTTGATTTTGGCAATTACAATTACATAAGTGTTATTTTCACCGCAAAAGATCTTCGCAGTAGCCTTATACCCGTAACTTACAATCACCAAGAATTGTTAACGTCTCTTTTACTGAGCAGTTTTTCTTCTTTCGCATCTGCCTGTATTCTAACATGCTTTTAGCAAACAACATAGCAGACATCTCTTCTCCCAATAACTTCAAATGAAAGCTCAAAGCCCACCTATCTCACGAGTTGAAAAAATTGAAATAAACAGTTCTTGTTTCATATCATCGTTCTTTGCTTCCGTTGCCTATATTGCCGTACCTGATGTTTTTGTACAACCATTCCGTTCTTTTTGTTTTATGCTTTTACGCATCAATGGACGACGGGAGAAAAGAGATCGTTCGCCTTCCTAAAACAGCGTATCGGCATCGCCGTCCAACGGGGAAATGCTGCATGCGTTGCCGAGGCGCTCGAAATATCAAACTTCAACTCTTAATTTTTATTTTGTTTATACAAACGCTTTTTATAACATTGGTAATTTACCTTTAAAAAAAAATTTTTTACGTAGTCATAGGGAAAGAATTTTTAGTGGCAATAGTATTGACGATTCTTATGGCTGTTTTAATCAATTACCCCATAAAATCAATATTTTTCTGCTCTTGGATCCTTCTGCTCATTGCTCCACATCCACTAATGATAATGGACGCCGCAAAAACCAACTTAATGAAAAGTATGGGAACTTTGTCGCACTGTTGAAGCAAAACGTGGTCTTCCATTTCGAAAGATCATTTATCTACGCTGGCGGGTGCGAATAAGGCTCAAATACACTGAGCACGAAGAACATTATGAAAGACTTTTTGCAACGATTATTATGAATTTACTCACGTGTATGCATAGGTGTAGTCAGATTTCTCTGGTGATATTCTGCCCGTCGTAGTTTTATACATACTTAGCTGAAATCGGATCACATCATATTCAAAGCATTGTTTGTGTTTTTAAAACTGGTTTGCGATGATGTCTATTATTTGAGATCGATAACTAATCTGAAGATGCACAGTTAGTGCAAAAGCGTTTAGTTGAATTTACATTGTTTGTTAGCTATGATTTTCATTCTGCTGGTATTAATGTTACTACCAATGTTACTTTTGAGATAATTGCAAAGAGACATCTTGAATGTTTGGATACAGTTCAGAAAGTGTCTCATCCGTCATCGCAATTGCGCGTACCGCAAGAAGTTTTTGAGCGACAGTCTCACAAATGACTTGACACCGGGGTTTCTGCAGTTCCTGTAAAATCCGCCCATAAGTGTATACTGTAACATTCGCCCGGAAGATACATATCGACGGAAAATAAAACTAAGTCTTAAGACGACTGGCTAACGTCTAAACAGAGGTTTATATGCTTTTCACCGTCTCTACCAAGCCAGTACTTTCGGTGGTCTTTTCTAACATCGGGTCGACAAAAACGTTACTGCCTTCGGCTTCGGTCAAAACACTCAAATTAACTTAATTACATGCAGAAATAGTGAGCTCATGGCTGGGTCTCAGTATCCCCAGACCACGAGGTCACTCCTAAAAACAGGGCTACTACTTATTTATCATATTACTATTGTTTTTGTTCAGTAGATAAAAATCATCATCTCCATCGAAAATGGATCAACCCTTTCCCCCAACTCCTAGCTTCTCATCCTTATCAAAATGAATCCAGTTGTTAATTAAATTCAATTCAGGACATGACAAGAAGCTAAAAGTCTATATAAAAGAATAAAAGTCTCAATTCCGAAACCCTTCCGGATTCTTGAATCCACTGAATCAAGCTCGTTAATCTTGATTTCTTCTTAATCCGGAAGGCTGTCCTCCACCCTTCACCGTTGTCTGCAACCTGCAACGGCCTTGCAACTATTGTAGCGACACAATAGTTGCAACTCGGAGTGCTCTCTGTTAACTCCGCGATTTGTTGTCGTTTTTTCTCACAATTTCCGTACTTCTCGTGATCGCAGCTAATGTTGTTCTGTTGTTTTCTAGCTTTTCTGCCAAAATGGCCGTTTCTGACGTTTCTCAGAAATGTTACGTTATCAGTTCGAAAATTTACAAATCAGCAATTTCCGAATCCTTTAACCTTCACGTTTTGTTCAATCGTTCAAATAACGTTCTTAATTCTTAATAATCACCAATCCGGAAGGCTCGCTGCTAAAATTTCGAATTCCGCAGAGATTGCATTTTGGCCATTTTGGTCGAATGTCACATACTCCCCGGACAGTCCGGTCAATGTCCTCATTGAATCACGCAATGTTCGTAAAATAGATACAGTGTCATCGAACAGAATTTGCAAAATGCACGAAATTACCTTTATCCACGTCACATCGACTCACTGCAGAACATAAATGGCATCATACTACATCACTATAGCCTTCAAATTCTTTCAATAATCTGCACATTGAGGATATGACTTAAGATAAAACATATTTTCTAACTTCCAGTGTCAATGTCCCGATTAAAACTTTTTCTCTTAGATTTAAAAGGTGCTGGCTTGCAGGACAGTCCTGCCAACCAACAAGCTAAAATTTTCCTACTATGCTTTTCCCTTCGGAAATCTTGCTTGTTATTGTCCTGAATATTAAAACTAAGAAACTCTGTGGTTAGCAAGAACAATGAAACAATCTCCCTCTTCGAGAGATTCCTCAAGCCTTCCATGTCACCACAAAGTGATCAGTTCTCCTAGCTGATTAAAAACAGTCATGCAGGCTGGAATATTTTAATATACTCCTTCACTTAAGCTTTTCTAAATAAATAGTAAGTGAGTGTCTCTAAAGCCACTCAACTAGAATCAAAATGCAAATTTATAAATGCAACAATTTCAAAACTCAACTAAATGTTTCAGTTTTCAATTACAACTTGGTTGCTTGGTTTCTCACTTGAATTTTTTCACACACATAAAACAATTCTGAGTTTTATTTTTTTCTTCATCACTCCTTTGTTTTCTTCTTTTTTCGTCGTTTAAAAGTTCTAAAACTTCTAAATTCTTCTAATTTCGTCTCTTTTTGCATCTTGTTTTTCGGTCATTCGTCAATGTTCCATTTCTTCCTCCTGAGATACTGACTCTGCACTCTCATTCTCCGTATCTTGTAACACATCATTAGCTATCCTGACGCTGCTGGAAGCCGTCCTCCAACACTTCTGCTCTTGTACCCTCTGTTTGCAGCAAGGTAGCGGATCCACGTTAGATTCTCTGTTCCTGCAGAAGCTGTTGTGGAGACACAACGTCACGTTTCTCTCCAAATCTTCTTTCAGCATTTCTGCTTTCTCCTTTCCACTACGTTCACTCGTCCTGGAAATTCTTTTCACAGCGGTGGTCACTGCATTCCGATGAGTCACGAGAGCTTGCTTAAAAGCTCCTGCTCCAATGTCCAGCTGATATTCACTGTACACTCTGCCATGCTTCGACATATGCTTCTTCGCATACTCGTACAACCATGCAGTCATGTTAGCTCTGAACCATTGCATCAATCGTTTCCTCGCCCATATCTTCTTCACTTCCATCGGAATGTTTAGAATTTTGCACATTGTCTCAAAAAGATCTAAATCTTTTAGACAATCTAATTTCCGCAACTGTTCTCTCGTCGGTGCCTCCTGTCTGTTATTTTCTCTCACATGAGCTTCCAGCCATCGTATCGCCATCATAACTCCCACTATCACTATTGTTACGGGCTGTGATGAATCTGGTAAACCCATGGAGAGCAGCTCTCCAGAGTCCCAGATCAACATCAGATTACTACGCTTAGGATACCACCAGGTCTGCAGCAAGCAGTGGCAAGGAAACTCGTCATGCGTCAACATGATGCTCCTCCAATTACGTTTTTCCGAAGCTTCCAGAAATGGTTCTACTTCCATCATCACTCGGTGGACTTCATCATTCTCATCTACTGCATTGTAATCTGTGACAATTGATCCTATCTGTTTCTGTCTCTCGAAGTCACTGAAGTTCCCGCTCACGTATCCCATGAACTTCTTTCCTAATATTGACTCCAATTCTTCTTTGGTTCTCTCTGGAACTGCTGAGAACATCTTACATAGCAACTCGTATGACTTCTCGGACATTCTCGCCAGTCTCACACACTTCGGCACTGAGAAGGCTTGATCCACAATTGTTCTCGTACTCTTCACGTCCACAGCTACGAAATGTACAGGGTATCTGCTCTTGCACATTGGAGCCAATGTTGAACCCACCAAATATCGTGCTCCTGATGGTCTACAATAAGTCTCACTGTGTCTAATGTTCATTTCCGTCTCGATTGCTTCCCTCCATTTTCCTATGTATTTCTGCTCAGTCTGCAGGACTCCTGGGATTACTTCTACACTGATGGCTGTGACCATCTCATGTTTCTGTTCTAGATTCAATAGTGACTCTAAAGAACCAAACATGGTGTAGAATCCTAGTGCAGTCACTAGATTCACATCGGTTCCTCCATGGCAATCTGCTATCAGTTCCGTTTCTGTTCTTGCTTTCATCACTACGTTTCCAAACAATACCGTCAATTGCTTGTGGTGTTTTTCTAGGGTCTTCACACAGTCCATACCTCCACAAACGTGACCCTCCAGTCCACAGACTTCCGCCAGACAGCTACCAGGTTTAACCCAGTCTTCTGGTCCCCAGCCAGGCAACTCCACTTTATCTTCTCCGTTGCTCTTAGAGGCCGTTATCATCACATTATATATGATGTTGAGGTCACGCAGGTTACAGTCTGCATTCAGTTCCCTCTGCACGTCTTGTGTCGCTCGCAATATCGAGTCAGCGTTGGGACTAGGACACCATGATGGCCTCATCAATTCCCACACTGCCATCAAGCTCGTCCTCAGTAATTCATCTGAGAATCCCAACCCAAACTCCACTCTTTTATCAGATTTTGGTACTGAAGGTGCAGTCACCTCTTCTTCCAAGACCAGTCCCAATTTGGCCTGTGGATTGTTAACGCTTTTAATCGTTACAATTCTGGACGTCCAGAATCTTAGCAACACCGCCTGCTCATAATCAAAGAAGCAATCGCGTATGTCTTCACTCAGGAAAGGATTGTACGCTATCCCTATGATCCCGGATACGTAGCTATACGATTTCTTCTTGATCGGTCCACAGTATTCACTGGATTTCGGCAATGCTCTCATAGATTCTTTAGTGAGTCTCAACTCCTTGTTTGAGAATCTCCTGATTTCGTCTATCTTTTTCATGGGTTCTAATTCCTCGGGTTCTTTCATGTTCACCCTCATCGGTTTACTTTGCTGCATATCCAGCAGTGCTAGCAAGAATAAGGCTTTCGTTCGCTCATCGCCCTCCTTCAACATTTTAACACAGGTGTTCAGTGCAGGTACTGAAATCTGCTCTATCAGGAATCGAATGAAACAGAGAGCGTCTCTCCGCTTCGCACACGCTACTGCTGCTCCCTCCACGACTATCAGATCCCTCAGGTTTGTCATAAGGAAAACCTTCTCCTCTTTTGATCTCTTCCTTTCTTCTGAATCATATTCTTCGCGAGTCAGTCCCATCATGCACCAGGCGAACCTGAGCTGTAACTCTGTTCTTACGTAAGGTACTGCCACGAGAGCATGTATTCTTGGCGTAGTCCTCATTTCTTCTGCTTTCCATGGAAGGCTCACCAACTGCTCTATCGTTTCTGCCTGTATGTCAGACGACGCTAAAGTCCCGTACGCCTTCTGCTTGAGGGTGGTGCCTTGCAACATCGTTTCCAGATAACCCTCAATGGCTTTTTGTCTTCCAGGGCCATTACATACCCTCTAGCCGAGTTTCGGTATTCTAACATCTCCATGTATCCACCGGTGGGTTCACCTATCGACACAGTCTCCGACACTGTTATTCGGTTATATTCCACTGGTGTTAGTTGTCCTGCGACACTTCCCTTTCCATGATTCATGGGAGATGGCTTGAAGTCTTTTATTGTGCTCTCTCCACATTGGCTGAGTATTTCCATTTCTAAGGTTGCTCCAGTCAGAATGCGGTCACTCCTT